CTTTGAAATGACGCACTATTACTCATCCTTTTATATATATGCACATATATATATGTGTGTGTGTGTGTGTGGAGATATATATATTTAACTAGTCTCTCTATTTATATATATATACACACATATACAGAGATATATATTTAACAAGGCATAGGCTTTTAAGTCAGCTTTATGTTCTGCTGGTTTTCCCCAGCACCATCTCCTTATGTTAAAGAAAAGAAGCTGTGGCAGCAGCAACGTTTTGGCTTGCTGAAGTTTTTCTCTTTTGGAGGAGATCCCTAGTCATATTTGCACTGGAACTTCTGCGGTATTGCATAAGTAATAGGCAAGTCCCATATTAGTGTGTATTGTGCTGTACACTGTTGTAATTCTGAAGAGAAGTTGATTTTTCTGGTCGTGTTATGTGATCTAATGAGATAAACTCATTAAAAAATTGGTTAAGTCCTAAATGTAAAATGAATAGGTGACTTCAAAAATGGAGAATAACATAACCATTTATGTTTGTGGCAGAGGAACATCACATCTGAGAAAAAATGGATACCTTCATAAATATAGCAGGAAAGGAGAGAAATTGGTGAAAAGGTGTATTTGAAAATACTGTCTCTCATTTTTAAAAACTGGCAGAGATTGAAACATAGTCATATGTATTTCAGTATACCCTGGTGCTAGAAATGACAGCTATACATGAATATGGAAAATATAGATAGTTCTCTGCTCAAGAGAAACATACCCTTAATAGACTGAGAAACATTTTCCTATTCTGCAAACAGGTTCTGAGCAAAGAGATCTAGTTTCTTTCTTCATCTCTTCATGCTCAAACATAGCTAGGTAGAGTTCTGGCTCTCTGTGAGACTCTGATGGCATAATCAAATTTGTATTTACTTACCTGGTTCTCACCCCATAATCAGTGTTAGTATACAAGAGGCATTAGTTTCACCTTCCATTTTCATCTCTCTTTTATTCTTCTTAAGAATGTTGATGAACATAATTTGTCTGGCTAATGAGACACTACGATGTTCATCTGAAACATTTACGCTTAGGAATATTAAATATGCCTCCACAACACACTCCAAGTATTAGTTCAAGAAATACATCTGATTGAACTATTACAGACAGTTAGAATACCTGCATTGCAGTTACATTTAAATTCAGTTCATATACTAAGCCAATATTGTGAGTCATGAATTTCATTGTTTCTCAAGTACATTTGGAACTAGACAAAGGAGTCATGTTTCAGGATCCTATATCCTCAATTTTACAATGATTTTTGTTAATATAAATAAATAAATAAACTGCTGCTATCATGGATGGATGAAATGAGAAACCAAGCGAATGGCAGTGAGTGGAAAATGTATGATGAAGAGAACTGACGTGCACAGGAAAACATGGAATATTCAGACAAGACCAAAATATGAAAAAGTTTAAAATAAATGTTCTAGACAACAACAAATTGATTAAAGAACAGCTAAAATAGCAAAATAGAAACTTAGTTTTGAAGCCTACTAGAATTTTAAATGAATGCACAGGTTGATTCAGAATGTTCCATATGGATGTTAATATTTGTGTGTGAACTGTGCTGTGAACTGCACTACTAGAAGATGCTTCTCAGATTAACATCTCTTCCAGTCAAGGTGGATTTTCTACAATAAACTGATGGCACCACACAATTTACTCTGAGTCTTTAGTCTCTCTTTGTCATGAGTTCCTGAAGGTAAACTCATTTATGTTCCTTGAGAGTATCATCTCCACAGGACACTAAAGCTGGCAGCACAACTCCTCACACTACATGTCTGAGAATGGCCCCACAATCAAGATAGTCCTATACTAATCTTTCCACTCATGGAAAACAACACATCCAGGCTTCTCCAAAAATTTTATTCCTTTTCTTATTGTCTCTTCAAACCAGAGAGATTTAACAATGGTATTTTTACTGATTTACTGATGGAGGCTTAAGGTTTGGAAGCATATGACTACAAAAGAAAATAACATACAGCTAGCTAGTAACTCAAGAAAACTTTGGTTCTTGTGGAGGTTGCTGAGTCTTAAGGACATCAACTAGTCTTTGCAGTCTAGAATGTTCACATGCTTTTTCCTTACAACTCAGATATAGTCTTTGATCCTATGACTAAATATAAATAAATTATCCAGAGAGTTTCTACCTTTTTTGTTCAACATACTTCCTGAACTTTACTGTCCTCCCATTGCATTTTTTTTCTTTTGCAGGAAACTCAGCTTCAGCTATTTTCTCCAAGACAGACTAACACATGTTTTTTCCATCAATTACATATCACAAAAATAATTAACTAATATGTCATGTTAAACCTATGCTCTCAGGTACAACACCAGCTTATTAAAAAGGCATATCTTAAAGAATGACAGTTACAAAACTTGGTGCTTGGTCCTATTCTTTTTGATTATGTAAATGTTATCAACCCAAGTTCCACCAACTGATAATTTAGTAAATAGAAGCCATACAGGGCCAACAGCAAAAGGTTCCTGATGGTATAAGTAGAGAGGGTGTAGAAAAGCACTTCTAAGATCTTATTGCCAAAAGTAAATCATTTTGCAAAACAAATTAAAGATGTCCATAATCCAAGTGGTTAGGACACTAAGTCTCATGCCCTAACTCCTCATGCCCTAGGAGTGGACCTGCAGTTTTCACAGCTGAAAATGGTAGTTCTTCTTGAAAGCAAATAGGAATTTCTTGAGCATTACCAGATGTGCTTAAAGAAAAAATATATAGAAGATTTATCCAGGACCTTTTAGAGTCTAGAAGAACAATTAAATTTACTCAAAGTATTAGTCAAAGTATCCACTCTTTTGGAAGAAAAGCTGAAAGTCTACATGAAAGGAAGGATATTCTCTATCAGAATATCAATACAGCATGTAGGAGGTGGTTTGAGGAGCAAATTTGTCCAAGAAGAGCACGAATCTGTTTCCATAAAAAGATCACAAAAGATTTCCAGCAAGAGGAGAACTGTGAAAATATACTAATCCTTTAGCTCCAGCCCATGAAAAGAAACTTTATGGAAGAAGCAAAGAATGAATAATTCACTACATACAATTTACAGTACAATCTCTGCCATGGGCCTAAGTCTCCTCACTGACCAAAGTATGTGTGCATATTCATGTGTGTAAGACAACTGACTTTATTGCCTGTATTCCTGCAGGAGGCTATAATAAAATCTTGCTCTCATAAACAAGCTCATAACCCTTGCAAAAACAACACAGATAAAAGCATATTTGTTGTTATTAACTGAAATATTGCTTCACAGTATTTCATTAGAGAGCTGTACTTTCCAAAAGCTAGAGCTGATCACTAATTATCCAGCTCAGCGATCACAGCTATATCCTGAAATACTACCACTTGGAAACTGTCCTTGCTGTCCCTTTACATTTGCCAGGAAGATCATCTGAAAGCTCAAGAGATGTGTTAAGCCACATTTATTTTCCTTAATTAAAAGCAGTTCACCTCAGAAAAAGAAGATATCCTTTGGATGTCTTAAGATGAACACCTAAAATTCTGAAACATTCAAGTTGACTGGTCATTTAAAAATAAACTTTGCTCTTGCCTTCATATGTTCCTGTAATTACTATTTTTAATCTTTTTTTCTCAATATGAAAAATATGCTGTCATACCCAATGTTCTACCAATACACTTTCCAGTTTGACTTACAGTACAATGAGTCTCACTGATAGCATCCACATAAGAGATAAATGTTCAGTAGTAGTGTCAGTGAGACTGATAATTCCTGAAAGCACTGTTGTCATATCTGGATCTTAAACCAGAAATTGCAAAGTAAGTTTATGTAACCAAATTTATGCGTCAAAATGCAACACCCAAATATGAGCTAACTTCTTTTTATTGTTAATGGAGAGATATGGCCATAGGTATCTCCAACAGAAAGAAGTCCTCATATAAGCACCAAAAATATATTTACTGATGGGTCATTTCCTGCTACAAACCACTGGCTTAGAGGAAGTCTAGTGTGACTAGCTCAAACATACAGTATAAAAGTTAAGCATACTCACTTGTTTATAAAGTTTATTTTCTACCTGACCAGAAAAGTTTGGTAAAAGTTATAAGCATCATAAACTAGAAATGGATCCAAAAACCAGATATATTTTTGGTAAGAGATAGGCTTTATTATTTGGATTAATAGAAATATATTACCAGTTCCATTTCTATTCTACAGAATTTAGCCAACTAACGCTACATTTTAGATATGCTGTTAATTAAAGTGAACTCTAAATAAGATCTAATAGGAAAGAATGATTTTTATAGGAGTTAAAATAAAGAGAAGCACGATATACTGACTGCTATACATATGTTTCACTGCCAATACACATCAACGAGGAACTCTAAATATGCTAAAAAATGTTCTGTATATGTCACTACTATATTAAATAGTGTAAATTCAAAAATAATAAATATATTTCAAGAATTCTTTGTAATATCTGGTCTTTAAGGTGTAGAAACATGCAAATGTCTGTATATTAAGCATTTGTAAAGTATTTTTGTCAAAGTTACAGAGAGCTATTGAAAAGAATAAGACAGAGGATTTTAGAGTGCTATTTTTCACAATATAAAATGCCTTTTCAGAAGTGGTGAAAAGCAGTTATGAACAATAGTTTAGTAAGAACTGGGCTGAAATGCAAGATGATTTAATTATAGAGTTTGAATGCTATTCCCTATAGTAACAAAGGGAAAAGACATGCTTTTTTTTCAGTGGGTTTATGGCTTTTGTATAAGGTTAGATGAAACCACAATGCAGTTGGGAACAATGGAAAAGAATGAAACTATATGGCCATGCGATCACAGTTCTACCCCACCCACAAAGAAAGCTGGAAAAGATGTAACAAAAGTTATATTGTGACACAGAAAAAAAAAAAAAAAAGAGACAGAATCAGTGTTAATGAAAGATTGCTCACCCTAAGCAAATGCTGTTTTTGAGTAGAAACATTTAAATGACTACAATATAAATAAAGATATATTTCCTTACCAGAGGCAGCAACAAAAGACTGAAGTAGCACGTCTTCCAATCGATGGCCATCTTTCCTAATTTTGGTCCTTAGGCAAGTTCTGTTTGTTTAAAACTGCTATTAGGGCTGAAGCACACTCTTCAGATGCTGTTGTCAATGTCTTCACATCAAGGCATAGACCTCTGCAGTGAAACATATAATAAGTATAGAAAACTTTATGAAATGAGAAAGAATTGGACAAAAAATACAGAACTACAACTGTTAGTTGCATATATTAGACATCATCCATATTTGTCTGTATTGCAATTATTACAGCTGGTTTTGGATACTTAAACTAATGCCCAAGAAAAAGAGTTTGTGATCAATAACTTGGATCATAGAAACTACTGAATCAGATTTTGTAATAGCAAAGATCTAAATTCTGTCCAAAGGAAAGGCAAAATAAAGCATTTTTATCCAGAAAAAAAAAAAGACCTGAAAGTCTGCTTCCCTTTTGAAGTCATGATTTGACCTTTGTGATTTGCAACAGAGGCTCAGAATTGTGACAATGTGAAGCCTTTTTAAGAGATCGTGTGTTTTGGTGATTTACTCCCTGAGATTACTTGTCCAGATACCAAAATCCATGTTCTGAGCTGCTAATCTGATAGCTTTTTAAGCACTTAACAAGAGAGAGACAAAGGAATAAAATGTGCCTACAGAAAGCCTGAAGTTTCATCCATGACATAAGCCAGAATTGATTTATCTTGATGACAATGTCAAGCATATATGTGACTTTCACTGCTTGGCTTTCAGCCAAGGGACTAAACAAGTGATCAGGACATCAGCAGAACTATACCTCTCACTTTAGTTCTGTCCAAACAACTCTTGCCATGACCTAAGATTTCAAAATTCATACCTAGTCCAGGTCATGATGATCCCCAAAACAGTTGTACAACATTTCAGAGAATCTCTCTGTTTCATTTTCTGTCTGGATGCAAACCACATTAATTCAGTGTTTCCTTTTAAAACATCAACTTGGCTCAGATGTTCATACCTTCTTGACACAGGGGCCTCACTTGACCTCCTATGTACAGGCAAGCTTTTACCTCTGAGGTACATTTCCAGATTTATTTATTTTCTTTCACCAATCACCTCTCACCTGAGAAGGCTCCTCTTCATGTTGTCTCTATCTATTAGACCTTATTCCTCCAAAATGAGGTCAACCAAAGGTCCTTTATCTTAATTCTAATAGTGAAGATGTAGCAGTGAAGATTCTACTTAGGGGAGTTTCTTCCATGAATATTAACTCTGCCACACTAGCTTTTCTTAGACAGAGATTTGCCCTTCATCCATTTTATACAATTATTTTTATTTATGTACTTATTAAAAACTCTTTGCCTGAAGCAGAATTTCTCAATTCTAGCACTTATTACTTCTGTGGACATAAATATGACTGACATATATCTTCACAATTAGAAAAATGTTTAAACAAGTAAATTAATATATGAGGGGAAAAGAAAATCACAGCTAGTAACAAGAGAGGAATAAAAGATAGAGAAAAAATGGAGAAAATTAAAGAAGAAATAAACAACAGCAATATCAAGATAATATTGTGAAACAATGAGAGAAAACGTGAGGAAATATAAAAATAAAGGAGAAAAAAAAGAAAATATTAAAGACAAAAGGTAAATAAAGGAATGACAAAGGGAAATATAATGGAATATTATGATCAGAGGACACTCAATTTTTACACTAACTTTAAGGTATTGCCAAGACATCAACATTTAGAAAGGAGTGAGTCTTTCAACTGAAAAATAAAAAAGGAAAATTGAGCCATTTCTATATTTCTATCCAGTATATGCAGACTCTGACTAAATGAAGGACTGTGATTCATAAAATTCCCTCTGAACTGGTCTGCCTTCTTCTATCCTCACTCGATCAGTCACTCTCTCTGGTCTGGTACTGAATTTAATTACTTAACTGTATTTCTGATGGTTTATCAAATAATGAGGGGCTGATAAGATCTCAGCTGAGGAGGACAGAAAACATCCATAGTGACATTCAGCAGCAAAGAGAGGGAAAAGGAAAGTCACTCCATTAGCAGAAGGAACAGAAAACCAGACAGATGCATCAGCAGACATTGGATTTAAAATTATTTCTTGATAATTGGCACTCTCGTGCTCAGGTCTAGCCAGAAAGGTCAGAGTGGTTTGAAGAATTAATTCTATCCTCAGCTTCAACAAATATTATGCTTCCGAAAAAAATATAAATGTATTGGAAGGATGGTAAATGATTGACTAAATGAATGGAAAAAACCCATCCTGTGGGAAAATGTTAACTTTTAGAACACATTCTTCCCAGTATTTCATTTTGATTTGGTTTGATTTATAAATCTGCTTTGGTTTAACCCAGACACCACTAGGCTTGAAGAATAAAGATTGGAAATGTTACTTTACTTTGGTTCCACATGAATATTTAAAGAGACAAGGAGAATAGCTACTAACCATTTTGCTGACTTTCTTTGACATTTTCCAGAGAAAGTAAAAGAATCAACTTCATTTTTGCCTTCAAGGTAGTCATAGAAACCTGAATCACAAACTGGACTGCGGCTTTCATATCATCCACAGAGGCCCAAGGGCTTATTAACAGCTACCAATCTTGCAGATCCTGCACCTGCACAGGAATCTCTATGAATTTTTTTAGCCACTCCTTTCATGTGATATTTTGAACAGGTGCAGAGTACACCTGTTACCAATAAACAGCTAATTATCTCACAAGCATGTAAAGTCAAATATATTTTACAAAAAAAAAAAAAACATGCACTTTTTAAAATAAGGGCAATATTTATAAAACATCTCAATTTCAATATTGAGAAAATAAACGAAAATAGGAACATGGGATTTGGAAAGAATAATTAGATTACGAAATAGACTGCTGACGGCCAAATACTGCAATTTAATTAGCAAGTTAGAGTTGTTAATGTTTCATCCCATTGTTGTATCTTCATCTGCTACAGTAATTAAAATTAGTAAAGACAGAATAGTCAGTAGCACAGGAGATACATCCTCCAAGGAGGAAAACACAGATGCTCAAAGGAACAAGATCCTCAAATATCTCTGGTGAAACAAGAAAACTGTTAAAGTGGCTGAGAATCTCACAAACACTAGTTATTGAATTTCAGGGGGAATCCTACAAGGTCTGCAGGGCATTATCACAAACATGGCTGGAGTATATGGAAAAAAATAAAACAAAGAAAAAATTTGGTCACTCAGCTTAAAAATATGTATTGTCTTGAACTGAAAGATTCATCCTTCTACACCCTTCAGTAGCACAGCAGGTTCTTTGTGGTAGTCAGTAGAGAAAAACAGACCCTTCATGGTCAAGTTGGAGCAGTTCTAAATAAATATATTCTGCTCTTGGTTCCTGCTTCTTTCTTCTCTTTATAAAGGAACTCTGGAGTACTTAGTTCACCCATGGACTCTGTTGTAGAGCCCTAGCAGCTGTTGAGAAATATCTCATCAGGAAAAGCTTGTATGTGCCAAACATGCATGTTAAGAGCAGCTTCTTAGTAAGTTGAATATGATGTCACTGAATAAAAAGAGATAGTGAGACCTTCCCAACCTGGCTGTTCCTACTCTCAGGGAGTCAGGAAAGAATCCTGGCCTAAAAGATTCACTCCTTACTATACAAAGCATATAAAACTAAGTTGGATTTATGTGAGATGAGTGAAATTAGATTTTTACTAACTATATAAGGCAGTTATGACCTACTGTTAAGATAACACCCAAAAGAAAACAAAACAAAACAAAACAAAACAAAATCTTGATCACCTAGGTTCTTAGTTACGGTCCTCTCGGATTTCTGCCAGTGGTTTGAAAGAAAGCTATAAATTTTAAAGCTGGCCTTAGATTTTTAAATTTTTGATTTTTTAGATTTTAAATTTTAAAGCTGGCTTAGGTTATTGTTGACCTAATTTGAATTAATTAATTATTTATTTAATGTTAATTCACTATCTAGACAGAGCTGTCCACCATGAGCTTTTTTTTCTGTAATGTTACTGAACTACTGCACAAGTGCAGAAATCCAAAGGCTTTTGAGAACATACAGGCCCAACTGAGCATGTGCAGGCTGAATACTCTGCATTGCAGCAAAGTCTTTTATTCTATGCACAATTTTCAAGTGCTTCCTAGTCGAATTAAATATATTCCGTTATGCAAAATAAACATGGAAGGAAGGATTGCAAAAGGCAGAAGGTGCCAAGGAGTGTATTCCAGTTGTCATCAATCCACCTTTTACACAGACATCTTCCTCTGCATTTCCAAGTTTTTCCGAGGAAAAGAAACACCGCCAGCACAAAGTTTGTTAGTTAGATAACTATGGCTTATATAAGAACAAGAGTTATGCAATTAATACTCTATTCATCTTCTTTGGGATCTCTGTAGAAAGTGTGGAATCCAATGTTTTTCATTTTTTCCCTCCCAAAACATTCTGGATAAAGTACACCAACTACAAAATTTGTATTAGAGGACACGGTGTGCCTCTTTCTCATCAACAGAGGTTCTCGCTAGCAAGAGGTAAGCAAAGTTGGGGTAGCAGACTTATTTTAGAAACCTAGAAGATAGACTTTAACATACAAGCTCTTTGTCAAGTCTCTTTTTTTATATAATCAATAGAAAGAAGCAGATATATGTAGAAAGCATTTTTTCTGACCTATTTTAGCTGTCTACTTTAAACATTCCTAATTTTCTCCCTTGAGTATAAGGGAATTCTTAACGACTAGCTCATATACTGACATCTACATTGTGGAAATCTAAATTTGGACAGAATACCACCCTCATTCTCTTTGGAAGTATGTGGACCAGCAATATGAATCCCAAAATAAGAAAGTTTGGCCTACCACAAAGTTTTAAGAAAGAAAAAGATTGTGTTAACTGATAACGAAATATTTAGGTAATTGGAGAGGAGAGGAGAAGGGAAGGGAAAGGGGGAGAAAAGGGAAGAAGGAAGGAAGGAAGGAAGGAAGGAAGGAAGGAAGGAAGGAAGGAAGGAAGGAAGGAAGGAAGGAAGGAAGGAAGGAAGGAAGGAAGNGGAAGGAAGGAAGGAAGGAAGGAAGGAAGGAAGGAAGGAAGGAAGGAAGGAAGGAAGGAAGGAAGGAAGGAAGGAAGGAAGGAAGGAAGGAAGGAAAGAAGGAAGGAAGGAAGGA